TAAAAGTACTTTTTTCAAAATTCATTAGATTTTTTTAATGTAATACTAAAGTGATTTTTTGCGACTTCATCGCCCGTATCCTCATTTAACGATCTAACTAGTGACCTCAAAATTTCAGGTTTTTTACAATCGTATTGATCGAAAAATAATCTACCAAATGCCCGGATCTGTTAATAGAATTTACTAACTCTGAGGTGTTTGTTTCTAAAATCTATCAAATATTTTCCTTCATTGCGAACTCACTATTTCCGTGATGTCCCATTTCAATCCAATCCATTTCAGATTTTGCCATTTTTACCCATCAACACTGATACAAGATAATGGATCTTGTATCAACGTTGCATCTAAACAATATCTGAATGCGAAGTTTAAAGAGCGGAGCATCATTGCGACATCACTTTATACGTGCTTCACAATCACGTCACAATCAGTTTCATCACGTTTCGCTTTAGCGTGGATTTTGAATAGTAAAGTTGAACTGGGAACTCTTCTTACCTATTCCCATTGTGAGAGGCTATAATTGGACAGTTTACAAAATAGCATCATGAGAGAAAACCTGACCCAAGACATTTGCAGTATTCTGTTTTAGATCGAGAAATGTATTGTTTTATAATATCTTTAAAATTTGTAAAAATTGTAACATCAAATAAGGTTTTGTTTTAAATTTCAATTGAATGATTGATATATTCAACTGCTGGCATATCTTATGATCTGGAGTATATGCGTTAATGTATATTATGTGCATTGCTAATTACTGAATCCTATAGATCAGAAAATCAGTACAACTGAGAAACTTGTGAATTTGTTTTAATTTATAGAGAATTGGTAATTTTTAGAGCGCTGAATCGCAAAATGACCATTCTCGTGAGCAGTTTTATTGTAGTTTGTAGTAAACGTTTCTTAGCTGTGCTTATATACACTTATGTAGTCTACTGAATTTAAAAAAATCAATCGAAACTAGTTAAATAAACCTGAATAAAAACTATTACGTATTCTGTGAAACAAGCTTAAACAAATATTTGGGTTAATGGTTACCATTAGAAATTTTTAAAAATGCTATCGCCGACCTGGGTAATATTTTCAAACATAAATTCTTGTTATTCGGCAAAATAATATTCTAACGTAAAAATAAATAAATTTCTATCAACTAGCAATTTAATGAGAAAAATGATTATGTTTCTCATGTTTACACTTTATTTTTATTCAATGATTTATTATTATTACTACTATTTTGGGTGTTCATTTTGCAGTGGAGATTCTTAAAGTTTCATCTCAAATTCCCCGTATTAAGTTATGAGAAGTATGTCTCCGTGATGTCTAATGTAAGTGATAATATGGCCAACGAGAAGACCCTTGATTCGAATCCCGGCGAGGGGCGTAGTTGCTTTCTCACGTTCCTTGCTCCAACATTGTTTAGAATAACTTTAAAATCGCGTCTGACTAAACTACAGTGAATGATAATCCGTCACCATCGAGATTTGGACGAGTGAATCTTGATCCTCTTCTCAAGTATCCTTTAAGTATGCGAAATATAAGAAACTTTCATATTCCCTCCACGCGTGCTATCGAGAAGTACGTCAAATTAGGAATTGGAAGAGTCATGGTTCGGATCCCGAGGAAGGTATAATCGGTTTTTCAGGTTTCTCTTGTCTTCGAAAATCCTAATATCTCTCCAGAGTTTATTAGTTAAATTTAATCTATTGTTATGTAGAATTTGTGTTATTTTATTCATAATGCAAGAGGGTACTTGATGATATGCAAACAACACTTCCTAGAGTATCAGTGAATAATCTATAACCTACTAAATTCCATCTTGATTTATAAAATCTAGAAGTTATAATATAGTATATAAGCCGTCACATTCCAAAATGCATTACAAATTCATATTCATTTTATTTGACGTGTCATCAAAAGATAAAAATCAATGATATCAAACATTTTAACATTTAACTTAACTCTTTCCTTTCCGCATACCTTCATAGTGTAATTGGAAGCATAATCGACGCGCATTCGAGGGTTCCAGGGTTCGAATTCCGGCGAAGGCAATACACATTAATCACGTCTCCTGCATCAAAATCTTAATAACTCTACAGTGGCACGCGAGCACGATAATTCGTCACCACCAGGATTTGGTGACTGGGTCCCCTCATCTCCTGTCGCCATTTAAAAGGGGGAGTATATAAGCTGTTTTTCTTTCCTTCCTGCATCCTGATCATATTTAATTTTAATAAGTGATTATACCTTCGTGCTTTGGATGCTCAACGTTCACTGAACTTAATTGAGGAAAGCTCCGCCCATTGGACTGTGGACTCATTTTCTTGACATTATTTCAGCACTTCCATGAATTATTTACTGCAAATATCTGTTGTCCCGGCTAATTAGGAATCTCGCCGACTACAGAAAATTATGATTTTCCATTTTAAAAGTGTATTTATTTTAAAAATAGAGTTTTTTCTTGTTTTTCGACCATAGCCAATGATATGACTCTACCCGCATTACGTGACGTGACTCTAAAACTGGACTTAGAAATTTTTCTGTGGCCATATATATAATGTATTTATTCCTTCTTAATCAAGAATCTCTACTTGAGACCTTAATTTCTCATGGAAAATTTGAACTATCTACCTGGACTTATTTTTCTTTCTGTTTTTGAATGTATGTTTATCTTCATATTAACCAAGATTATTATTCATGTTATTTACTGATATGTATTAGTACTCCACCCCACGATGACTATATCCTCAGTGGCAATGAGCCACCTTTTCTTTAATTCTCCCATCTTGTCCCTAGAACACCCTTTCTTATATTTTTTACTTCCTGAAGACAACTGGCATATGTGAAGACAACTGGCAAAAAGACTGCAATATCACGCAGGCTAAGCCCAGTATAATAGTGAAAAATGAAATGGAATTCCTGTATCCTTCGAGGCGTAATTAAAGCATATGCGACACGTATTCGAGAGGTCCACGGTTAGAGTCCCAGTGACGACATTGTTCATTTTTCCTACCTCCAGCTTCAAAATAGCCTAATGACTCTACAAACTATACCACAAAGCACCTTAATTAATGTATGCATATTGTTTTCTTAACTTTCACCTTACCAAAAGTATTAATTTCAAATTCTGATTATTACATTTCTTAATACTGTTTGCAGCTTTTAATTTTATCGGCAAGAAATAAAATGAAGATTATCATAAAATATTTTATAAAATCTTAACCTATTATAAACAATATCATTTAACTAGATAAATCCATCTGATAATGCTCATTTTTCACATGTAGAGTAGATTTGAAGCAAAGGTGGTAGTTCTTCGGAGATGATTTTAGATTAAATTCCAAAGACAGACGTTAATACTTGTCTAGATATGATAAATGTTAGCTGCTTTTTAAAAATAATAATAATTATTCATTTGAAAAGATTTCAAACACACTCTATTAAATGTTTTAGGGATGTTCAAATCAGATCGTTTTTACATTATATGCCATTATACTATATGTTTTTTAAATTTCCATGTGTCATTGAAAAAAACAGCTACTAAGATCTTGATAGATAATGTTTTCTATTCAAGATACTACAGAATCACTGATAAAATTTCCAGGATTCATGTTTTTTTGGAATAACATTTTTGAAATAAAAACTGTTATATGAAAATGAATGTTTTCTATCAGCAGCAATTTAAAAGTGTTTCCAGAAACGACAGTGGATAAGAATAAAATAAAAAATTAGTTACGAACTCCTTAAGGAATGACATTTTATGTCAGAAGAAAATTTAGAACATTCATCAGCAATAGATTTTATTACTTCTTAAAAGTTTACTAATTTACCAAAAACTGCTAAAACCAATCAAGAAATGCTTCTAGTGGTTTTCTTATATATGAATATATGTAATAAATGTGTTAAATGATTAAAACACCTATATCAAAATTGCACATGTAATAACTAAAATGACTGCATTTAAACGGGAAGGAAATGAAATTACGCAAGGTTCATAAATAAATACATGGCTGTTGTCAGGCCAGTCTTGAGATCTCCTTCCCTTCTCACACACTCCTAGGGCGTACGTTAATTTAACATTATTTGATTGAGTTTATCAGTGATAATAAAGCCAATGATATCTTAAAATGTCTTAAGAGAGTGATGCACAAGGAAATATAAATTTAGCACTTTTTTTTCCAGGTTTAATACCTTTTCCTTGCACAAGTTTGTACGAAATATTTTTGCTGCGTTGTCACACTGGTTGTAATAATATCCAAAACAAAAACTTAATATGGAATTTAAAAAAAAATTCTTTGTTTCAAAATATAGTTCATAAACGTTAAATATTTTCCTAATTAATCTTTTTGACTTATAAACAATCCTTATATAGTACTAAATTATTTATTTTCCTAGAAAATAATGTTCGTTTTAAAAACTTCAGTATAAATGAAATTTTATCCAATCCAATGAACATCTTTTAAATAATAGCCTTATGATGATCTTTTTTTCATATCCTAAAGATCATTTGCCATTGTATAAAATGCTTAGGTGTTATACACAATGCCTGCTAAAATATATAATAATACTCATATTTCATACTTTGCGTAAAAACGACAGGGATCCTATAAAATTCCCAGGTATTCCATAGAATGCCAGTGTGTCATACTTTGCCAGTAACATAAAAATAAATAAATACTATGAAATGTGATCAGTAATTATTTATAGGTTAACAATTCACACCGATTACTTATACAGTACATATATTCACTAAAATTATTTTGGCAATCAAATAATAACATTAATTTATAAAACAAATATTAAAAAAACTGTCAGCACATAAAGTAAATTAAATGAATTATACGAAATATGCGTTGAAATAGACGGACAGGAAAGAAGAAAAATGTATGATTTCTAGAAACATTTGAGAATAATTTCTGCAAGAATTATAAAATTGATCTAAGTTCATGATTAATTTTATATCTAACACTAAAATATTAAGATATTTTGAGAACTTTATTACTTACCAAGAGAGCTCTGCTTCATATTTTAAGCTTTCCAGTAAAATCTTTGAACATTACGAAACTTTAGAGAAAATGTTTTAATATTTATATAAAAACACATGCATTTTCCTAACGCAATCAAAGTAATCCAAATCTAAAACATTAAGTAGAATATCAATGTTCAAATAAATAACCTCATGCATAAAAACATGTCTTATGTTTTTACAATATGAAAATCAACATCAGCGTCATGAAGCATATTTAGTTCATTCGTATGCTATTTACAATTCGTATGCTATTTACAGTAATTTCCAGTCTAGGATCTAGTGATTCATGAAAATGTGAAACAAACGCAACAAAATCCGATAGCAAAATGACTAGATATTCCTTTATATGACACTTAAAAGTCTGCTTATTAATTTAAAACTAATTTTTGCATTTGGGGGCAACTATAATTCATGTGATAGTTTAACATAGAAAATATTCTGTAGAATAAGTAGTATTAATTTTAGAAATCTTTTATATTTAAAATCATATTGGTTGTATAAGAACTTGGTTCAGATACATAATGCAGTTTATTATACAATTACTTGTTTGACTCCATGAACATCTGTAGACGTTCAGTTAAAGCTCTGAATCAGTGTTTATTTTTCTTACCGCTTTTAACATTTCTGGTTCACTTGTATTTGGAATATTAGGGGTAATTGTAGTCTGAAGTGTAGTTAAATTAGACAAACTGCTGTACATAGCTTTCTTCAGACCAATCGGCTTTCCCATACGATATGTAACTGATCGAATTTTCAGTTTTATGACAAGCATATTTAAAATGCTTTTCTTTAGAGTGAAGGCGATAAATATAAAAGCACCCTGCAGTCCGTTCAGAATAATAAATGCGTACCACACTGCATCAATCCTAGTAATAGCGGCAAAAATACCAAGAAACCAAGTCAAGCCAAGTATGGTAGTGAGTTTCAAGTACAGAAAGTATCTTGTTTTGTCTGTAAAATTACTCACCGATCTCGCTTGCCGTGAAATCTTTCGCACGTAGAAAGCTGTAACAGCAAATAAAATTACATTTGCCATCAATAGTGTTGTGACCGGTACAACAAAGAATACTAACAGGCCTTTTCTATGATTTAACCAGCAGATTGGTTGTCCATATCTAGGTCTGAACTCATTGTTCTCTTTTAACACGTTATCGACAATAATACTTATCAGCAATATACTGAGGCTGGAAATCCAACTACATAAAGAATACTTGACAAACGTTTTGCTATTTCTATTTCGCGACTGAGTCATCGAAAAGGTTTTGTGAATATCGAATGCCATAACTGACATCCAATGAAATGCTGATAGATAGCCGAAATATGTGAATACAGCGTTTAAGTAACATAACCAATAAACTTCTACAAAACGAGGACCTAAAAGAAGGAAGAGATGTCCACAAAGAAGAGATGCTGATAAAGACATCAAAACTTTTCCCGGGCAGTTTCTGAGCTTTTTTAGAATAGCGTATACAGCAAGGTGCAATGTTAAACAAATCACAGATATGGATAGCGTAACGACTGATAGCCAATAATGAACGTTTGAATAGGGTAATAAATTATCGTTATCATCAGCACATATGGCAATCTGAAGAACGTTTTTACCATCCTTTTTGTATTCTTCGTATTCTTCAAGAGAAAGTAATTTTTGGGAATAATTTACGAACGCACTACCATTTTCCAGGAGAATGAACATGTCATTAGAAAGGATAATTTTCAAACAACTGTTTCTAAGACCCGAAATGTTATTGATTTGATCCTTCGGCAAACATTTGCCATTTTCCATTTTGTACAATTTACCACAAGTAAAATTATGGCACTGGTTTAGAAGTGGGTCCCATATATTCCCATCGTTTACGCTGCATTTGCTTTTGTATCCTACCTGATTATCCCATCCACCTACGAAATTGAAATCAAAAAGAACCGTTAGAATACCAGAGTCTTCAGAAGACGAGAAAAGGGAAGTATAATACGGATCAAGGCAGGTTATACTTTCTGTATCCAAATTGTTACACAACGCACAATGCAGATTTTTATAAATTTTGCTTCTTCGAGAAGGACCACGTGTCTCATAAACAAAAGACGTATATGCTTTGCATTTTTCTTGCATTGTTTTATCAAAACCAGAAACGCATGTATCAATAGCAGCTTTGCAAAGTCTAGCGCTGTAATTTGTTACGAGGCTATCGTTCATGAACTCTCGAGGTACGATGTTACAATTTTTCCTCTCTCCGCCTACAGAAACGTCTTTAAATAATAATCTTTCAGGATTGTAGACAGCTTCAGAAAAATTAATTTCTCTTCCAATGTTATTTATGGATGCGCTAGTGAGGAAACCATTGCAGTAAACATGAATGTTCCATTTCACAATATTTGTATCATCGTTGCAAATAGCACAATAAATGTTCCGGTAGAATATCCTTGTACTTGAACTTAATACTGGTATATCCTGGAGGTAGTTATATGGCAAACTCTGCTGTTTAAGGAATGTGGCTTCCTTTTCACACATATCCTTCACAAAATCGCTTGTCCAATCTTCAGGACAGTGTTGTAGAACATAGATAGGTATACGCACGGAATTAGCCCCACGCACTTCTCTGCATGTCCACCTTCGTCGAGAATTATCTTTTTGCGATACTCGATCCATGCAACAATCATCGTAAACATCGCAGTTTTCGTCGCAATAACAAGCGATACGTTTTAGATTCATGGGATCTATCACTGGATCAGATGTAATATCATCACAAATCTGGACGTGAGACTTTTCAAAAGCGCAGAATCCATCATATATAGCCTGTTCTCTTCTGACCTCTTCCGAAGAGAATCGGCGAATGTTTACATCTCCATAAGGTGCGAAATATCTGTTTCTGTCATCACGCCGGAAACGATAACACAGAACGGAACCAAGCAACGATAAGTAGACGAAAATTTCTCTGATCAAGCACATTCTGTTGGTTCAGACTCCTGAGGTTGTTTCCCGTGTTGTATGTGTGTTCAGCTGGAGGAAACTCAAACAGAGGCAGGCTACCGCCCATGCAAAATTTTGCCAACCAATGAAAATCCAAGCTTTCCTTCTCTTTCTTAATGGTTTTTTATAACATAAACACATCGTCTGCTTCCAAGACTTGGTTTTCGTCAAATAAAATAATCATTTCATCTTAGGGGATGTATCAATATTTAGAGCTAGAAGTTCTTAAATATCATAAGTAACTTGTAAATGTTATTAGCGGGAAAACATTAGCATAAAATCTGCAATTTTTGTTTTCTGTTACATAACAATGATTTACACTGATGTGAAAGGTAATTCCTCTTAAAAGCGGAGTGGCCTTGTCCGCTAATACGTTTCGTCAACTTAAACAGTAATGCAATCAAAATTTGCAAAAGTAGCTTTGAGATCAAGTCGAGCAAACTACATCTTAAAAACCTTATGATTAGTTAATATATGGCGATAATTCTGTGCGTAAGCATTTTACTATCTTCGAACGCTTTTCGAACCCTCAAACTTAAAACAACTAATAATTTTAATTCAAAATACGCTCTATATTTCAACTGAAAATTGGAAAAGTGCTGAGATGTACATGCTTATAATAAGTAAGATAACATGTAAAATAAAATGTATGTGCTTATAATTTAAAGGCCACATGAGCGTTTTCGTGGTTTTCCCCATGTGTAATGTGTATACCATCCTATTTCCTCAGAAAGGTCTTCCACGAAGGCATCCCTTCCCTTAGGCAGAAAGCTCTAATGTGCTTTGCTATAACCAGTTAAAGTAAAAGAGAGAAACAAGGACAGGTAAAATCTAAAGCTCGCTGGTATTTAGGATTCGTACATACCAGATGAAAGTTAATTTAAATTGGTTCAGCTTGCATATTTTGAAGATTCGTTTTTCGAAAGGTATTAAACATTTTCTATTATAATAAAATAATATTTTTTATTTATTGAGTTTATTAATTTTATGTTTTATTTTTTCTGATTAATTCGTAGACAATGTACTTTGCATGCTTAAACGAACTCCCAACTATTCATTATTATCATGGATCAAGTTATTTTTAATGGCCACAGCAAATGGCTAATCAGCAATATATTATAATTAACGCAAATAGAAGAGATATATGCCATTGAATCGATTTGCATGTTAGTCACCTCCAGTGTCAAAAAATTATTTAAAAAAATTATCAAGGTGACTTTATGTTTTGAAACGGAAATTACCAACTTAAAAAAAATCTTAGAAAACTGTTGTAATTTAATGTTATTTTACATAATCAAAACCGCTTTTACAATCTCCTTTTTAAAATAGATCAACACAAAATTCATTTTACAGATTTATTTATGCATGTTCTGTTCATATACGAAAATAGTTTTAATCTTGTTGCAGCTTAATGCATTATGCTATAGGGCTATCTGCCTAAGGTTCTTTGCATTTATTAGTAGAAAGACAGCTACTGCTCTTAAACGGAATAACTTTCCTCCTGAAGAGGAAAAA